AACAAAACATTGATAAAGGTCTCTGGTTTTTCAGGCAGTATTTTACAGGCACTGTGATATATAGTGTTAGAGGCAACAAAGTCCCTACTCCCAAGAAACTCAAGTTCCAGTTAGAAAAAAATACTAGCTTATGTTTATTGAGTCCTCTGTGCCTGTAAGTACTTTACACATACTAACTTAATTAAACAGAAACCATAAACTACTAGCCACACAAACAAAGAATGAAGATAATGAGGAGAGAACAATTAATGCTGCCTGTAATGGTCAAGTAAGCTTCAGAGAGGTAACATTTGAGATGGTACATGAAAGACGGTCACGATTTCATTAGAAAAGGTAACAGTTCCAGAGGAACCACACCCAACTAATAGCCATAGGGTCTATAGCAGAGGGTATGAAGAATCAAATCAGCATCCTACTAAGGATGTGTACACTGGAACTATAGTGGGCAAGGCTTTGAATGTGTAGTATTCAAAAGTTCAGACTTCATCCTTTAGAAGATCTTCAAGCCCAGTGCAATGGCTCACACCTGTAATCCCAGCACTTTGGGAACTGAGGGAGGAGGATCGCTTGAGCCCAAGAATTCCAGACCAGCCTGGGCAACATGGTGAGACTCCATCTCCACAAAAAATTTAAAAATTAGCTGGGCTTGGTGGCATGCGCCTGTTGTCCCAGCTACTTGGGATGCAGGAGGTCAAGTCTGCAGTGAGCAATGTTCATGCTACTGCACTATAGCCTAGGTGACAGAGTGAGACCCTGTCTCCAAAAGAAAAGAGAAGTCAGGTGAATGCAGAGATAGAATTGTAGGATTTGATTATACAAATGCAAATCTGAGGAGGAGTAAGAAGATGAAACAAGTTTCTAGCAGTTGGGTTTTGCATGAAGACAGGGAGAATGAAAGAAAGGGAGAGAATGAGTTTTGTTTTGTCAAGGGGACTTTCTTGGGAAGAAATTTCCAGTGGACAATTAGAGCTGGATTTCAGGAGAAAAGGGCTAGAGACTGACTTGGGAGTTTAAGAGTAAGTAGAGCAAGAGAGGCTCAAGGACAGAATGATGGGGGAAGACTTGACATTTAAGGGGCAGGAAGAACAGCTGGAAGAGAAGCAATTAGTGGTAAGAGGGGAACCAAGGAAATCTGTGTTAGCCAAGCTCACTAACTTCTTTGCCAAAAGAATGAACTGGGCCAGGTGCGGTGGCTCATACCTGTAATCCCAATACTTTGGGAGGCCAAGGTGGGTTGATCTCTTGAGCCTAGGAGTTGAAGACCATCCTGGGCAACATGGCAAAACCCCGTCTCTACTAAAAATACAAAAATTAGGCTGGGTGTGCTGGCTCACACCTGTAATCCCAGAACTGTGGGAGGCCAAGGTGGGCGGATCACAAGGTCAGGGGTTCGAGACCAGCCTGACCAACATGGTGAAACCCCGTCTCTACTAAAAATACAAAAATTAGCCAGACATGGTGGCACGCGCCTGTAATCCCAGCTACTCAGGAGGCTGAGGCAGGAGAATCACTTGAACCCGGGAGGTGGAGGTTGCAGTGAGCCAAGATCGCACCACTGCACTCCAGCCTGGGCGACACAGCAAGACTCCATCTCAAAAACAAAACTTTAAACAAAAATTAGCTGAGCATGGTAGTGTGCACCTATAGTGCCAGCTACTCAGGAGGCTAGGTAGGAGGATCACCTGAGCCTGGGAGGTTGAGGCTGCAGTGAGCCATGATCGTGCCATTGTGTACTTCTTCAGCCTGGGTGACAGAGTGGAAACCTTTTATCCAACAACAACAACAACAACAACAAACTGGCAGGATGAAGGCTGGTGGAGAATGGATAACTAATAAACAGTAGATCTTTCTACCCATCTTATATTAATAGTTACTTCAGGAGAGGGATGCGGGTCTGATGACAAGCTTGAAAAACAGCATATTTTGATCAGGGAAGCCAGCAAGTCAGTGAAGGCTGCCTCATAATGCCCCACTTATTTGCCCTTTTATCTGCTTGTATCTCTTCCACTCAGAGCCCCGAAGCCAGGACAGGAGACGGCGGCAGCAGCCACTGACCCATCGCCTTGCAGGCAGCCTTGCTCCATCCCCAGCTCCTACTAGTTCTGGCCCAGCCTCCTCACACAAGCTGGGCTCCTGTCTACTGCCCGATTCACTCAACATACCAGGTCTGTACCCGCTGCCACTGAAATCTGGGTTTGCCAGCCTCCTCCGTGGCCAGCCCAGGTTCTTTAAGCCTAGTTGGGAGACCAGGGGCATCAGTTATCCTCTTGGTATCCTAAACCTCTAACACTGGTGCCTTTGTATAGGAAGCTGGAATTGATTAGTCTTTGTGTAATAAAACAATAGTTAACATTTATTGAACATTTACTATGTGCCAGGCACTGCTCTACACATTTAATCTCATTTAATCCTCATTTTTACAGTTGAGGAACCTGAGGACTTTTTGTCTACCTGCAAAGTGCTATTTACGCAAATTCCCTGACTCCAGGAGCTGGGCAACATTAGACAAAACAGGAGAATGAAAAAAGCATGACAGGTCTTTCTCCTGTCCACACTGCTAAATGTTGTGTGCAGCCGTATCATTCACACAAAACTTAAGCCATCTCTTCTCCTTTAAATTACAGACCCAGCTATATAAAGAAATGGATGGGAATGATTTTAAGATTGTAGTCCAACATGTTCTACCTCACTCAAAGACCCCTACTCCCAACCTGTCTACTGTCCTCAATGGGTAGCACTGAACCCACCAGTCCTGGGTAGAGCTGACTTGATCCTCAAATGCTAAACATATGATTGGGGTAGGCCCTGCGGCCTATAAATTGACACAGGATTTAAGCTTGGGTACATTCCGATTCTAGCCTGGAGTTGCTGCTCCACCCCTTGGACCAGACTAGAGCCTCAACCGGGTGTGAGTTTGCTGCCCAGGCAACATCTGGAGACATTTTTGGTTGTTACACTGAGGGAGATGAGGAAACAGCATATATTGTTTAGAGACTAAGAATGCTATTAAACATCCTACAATGCACAAGACTACTCCCCACGATAAAGAATTATTCCACCCAAAATGTCAACGTGCCAAGGTTGAGAAACCCTGATCCTTTGGAAGTTACCTCCTCTTCTCTGTGACCCCTACCCTGATCAGTTTCCTCTGTTCCCTAGGGAGCGGCTGCTCACTCTTGTCCTCCGGGGACAAACCAGAGGCTGTCATGGTAATCGGGAAAGGTCTGCTAGGGACTGGAGCTCGGATGCCCTGCATCAAGACTCGATTGCAGGTAATATTTTTGGGTCTTCAGCACAACTACTCTGGCAGAACCCAGCAAGGCACTGTTCCTCTGGGTAGTGGGAGGGAAAATGCTCAGCACTGCTTTACTGCCTTTACGCTTGGCCACATCAGAGAGCTTCTCTGGTGCCTGAGTGCCTGTCTGTCCAGTCCCCCTCCTGCCCTCCACCATCCCCATCAGCCAGGTCATTTGCTTGCTTTCAACCTGTCCCTGCCAGATATACCCCAACTTCAGCCTGCTAGCTTTGGCTTTCCCTGCCCCTGCCCTTAGCTTCTCCTCTCTTTCTGCCCAGACCTGCCCGAGGAGAGTTTCCGCCAGGAGGGGTCCCGGATTCCCCAGGTAACACATTTGGTTGCTGCTGCTAGGAACAGCCCTGCCACCAACTCCGATTCAGTCCAGATCCCCATGCTAGGTAAAGTTGAGTACAGGCAGAAGCTGACTGGATGGGTGAAGTGTACACTGCTCTGGCAGGGGCTGAGGCATAGAGGGCTCTGAGAGGGGTCTACCAGCCCTCACTATCTTTCTACGCAGTGTTTCTCTACTCACCCAGACCTTAGTCATGGTATAGCCATGGCGGTTAAATGCTGGATCTGTTTGCCACCCCTAGTTATAGACTTGGAGTGCACAGTCATGGACTGAATCCAGGACTTCTCTGGCTATTATCGTGCCTCACCCTCTCAGCTAGAATTCAATGTCCCAGTACCTCTACTGATCCCTATACTACAACACTCTAATGCACGGAAACTCTAGAAGCAAACTAAAAGCAAAAAAACTCATGGAAGAATCTAGCCTCTTAGCAAAAACCCTGTCCACACAGGCTAGGCCCAGGTTGGGCCGGGGCTCACCGCCGACTCGCAGAGGGATGAAAGGCTCTTCAGGCCCCACATCCCCTACCCCCGGGACCAGGGAGAGCAGTGAGCTGGAGCCGGGACCCTGCTCTGCTAAACCAGGGTGAGCACTTGAGTCCAGTCCCTCACCCCACCCCTCACTTCTGTCCCCTCATTCCGATTTCTGTCATTCAGAATAATTTTCTGCCTTCCCTACTCCTTTTGAGCACAAAGACTAAATGTACTTTCATTAAGAATCTAGTCCCTGATTTTTTTTTCCCCCACCATGGCCACAGTCTTCAATCCAAAGGAAAAGAAAACAACTTTTAGTTAGGGCCTAAGGCCTAGGAGCTGGCTGGTTCCAGCAAGAGACCACTGTGCAGTAACCAACTTGCCCATCCTTACCCATCTTCATCTTGCTTCACTTCTTTCACTTCCCAGCCCCTGGTTAGCAGAACAGAAGAGGAGCAGAGTTTTCATAGCCCTGATTCCTCTCTCTTCTCTGTTGCAGGCTGCCTCAGGCCAGGCCCCCACGGCCCCGCTCTGCCCCTGCCTTTTCTCCTATATCCTGTAGTCTGTCTGACTCCCCATCCTGGAATTGTTACAGCGGGGGTCCCTTGGGCCAACCTGAGGTTTGTTTTGTCCCTAAATCTCCCCCACTCACTATTTCTCCCCGGGTCTGATAATGCCTTTATGTTGAAGCCCAAGATATAGCCCCAAGATGGGGTAACACGTGGGAAATATGCTAGTTCCCCTCCAGGCCGCTGATTCCATGTGACAGCCGTTAAGTCCTTGGAATGCCAGCCACGCTGTCCAAAGCATTAAAGAGCAGCACCTTGAGACAGAACAAAACAGGGACCTGCCACCCCTTCCTTCCCTCCACAGCACAAGATTTTGGGACCACAAAAAAAAATCTATATTTTTATATTGGGGGGAGGGAGTAGAAAAGCAAGCCCCTATACTGGGCCCTATTCAGTGGCAGCTTCTTGTTCCATAGGATTAAGGAAGACTTTGAGGAAATAAAAGTTGTTTGGAAAAATCCAGGTGTAGTTGCTTTGTATGTTGTGATGGGTAGAAGGGATGAAGTGAAGTGTGAAGGCCCCTCATACCCTCCATCTTGCCTCAGACTATGTCCTGGAACCCTAGAAAAGAGGGGGAAAGACCTGAGGTAAGGAAAATGCTGCAGCTTTCCTCCGGGGATTCCTTCAGGAAGTAACGTCTATCCATATTCCCTTTATACTTGTGACCCACACTTCAGGCTGGCTCCAAAGCCCCCCCTTCCTTCTCTATAGCTTGGGTCAGCAGCCAACCCCTGGCCTCAGAACATGGAAACAGAATTCTACATCTGTCACCCCCTCACCAAAAACATTCTGCCCAAATGAGGTCTAAACAACCTGGGGAAAGTGGGAGCTATTTAAGAGCCCAAATCCTTATACTTGGATGGTACCCTCGGTACCTTCGTTCCTACCGGTGTCAGTGCCTCCTTACAACTATACTCCCAACTTGGGCATCTACCTATTGAGGACAAGATGGGGACTGTGAGGGTTAGGAAACCCACTCCCATTTTAGCAGGGAACAGTTTACAGGGAGGGGACAGCGCGCTCTCTACTCTGTGCAGATAAAGGGGACCAGTTCTGGACTGTATCACGCTTGGCCCGACACTTTCTGATTGGAAGTTTCGAACCCTGCTACCCCTGGCGCGGCCTCGCCACTCAGCTCTGGGGGCTGGGCGCTACAGCCCCGGGCCGTTACCTGGGGCGGAGAAAGCGCCACTTTCATTCCTGCTTCTTGGGATTGTTGACGGCCACGTAGTGATAGAGAACAACAAGCAAGAAGAGCGACACGC